GGCAGTCTTTGGGATGTTAGAATCTTTCACCTTGAATTGGTAATAACCATATCTCAAGCATATCTTCAAAAAGACAGTGACCCTTAGAATTGGTCAAACATATCATCAATCTTGGGCAGAGGGTATTTGTTTTTAACTGTGAGCTTGTTTAGCTTCATGTAATCAATACATAGTTTTAGTGTCTCATATTTCTTCTTGACAAAGAGAATTGGAGCACCCCACGATGAAACGTTAGGACAAATGAATCCACCATCCAACAACTCCTAGAGTTGAACCTTCAGTTCCTTAAGCTCCTTATGGGTTCTATGATAAAGAGCCATCGAAACTAGGTTCGAACCAGAATAGAATTCAATCTCAAACTCAACTTCTCTATCCCGTGGCAATCCAGACAACTCTTCGAAAAAGACATTGAGAAATTCTTTAACGGTCCAGATTCTCTCTATGTCAGACCGGGAACCTTTGTTAACTAGAATATAAGCGAGGAATGCCTTAGAACCCTTCATGATCATCCTTTTGACTACCAAAGTGGACACAACGTTTGTCAGAAACTCACGATGTTCACCGATCATCACAATCTTCCTGTCATCATGAGTCTTCATAACAACTCTCTTGTACTCATAGTCGAGATTAACTCGATGTTTATCCAGTTAATCAATGCCAAGAATCAAGTTGAACTCTTCTAATGACAACTCCATTAGATCAACTAAGAAGATCTCCCCATGGATATCTATATGGTAACCTCTAAAAATTTGGTCCAAGTCAATAGACTAACCTACGGGACTCTAAACTGTCACAAGACTCTCAGTTTTCTCATCCATAATATTAAGACCCCTATATACCGAGCGCTATACATAGGAATGGGTAGATCTAGGATCAAATAAAACAAAGTATGGAACTGAATAAATGGTAACAATACATACAATCCCATTAGGCTCATCACGATCCTGTCGACATCTAGTAGTATACACCAAAGTAGGTTGTCTGGCCTCAGTTCGAGTTGTACCCTACTCTAAGAAGATCGGCCTCTACTAGTAGACCCAGATGCTCTCGGCTGACTACGACCCCTAGCTGGAGTCTAAAATGTACTTTATGCATGAGTAGGTGTCTAAATTATTGTATGTTCGGTGGGAGCCAGCTTTGGACAATCCCTCAAGAAATGGTCGTCGTACTTATGCCTGAAACACAACCTCATCCTCTTCATACACTCTCCAAAATGATGTCTCTCATAATACTCATAAGTAGGCATCATGGGTACTTTAGAAAAACCACCCTAACTAGAAGCTGAAATTGTCGGAGTGGTTGATTCTACATGGCACAAACTCGTACCTCCTCTCTGAAAAGACTCACCCCTAACTCTCTTGCTGGGACATGAAGAATCATCACCAGAACCAGAAAATCTCCTGAATCGGTCTCGATCTCTATTACTCCTACGCCCCATACCCAATTGCTCCATCTCCTCAGTAATCTTGGTTATCTCAACCAATGTATCAAAGTTCATCTCCTAGTGGGTAGCAACCCGATCCCTAATCTCTTACCTTAATCCATTTTCAAACCTTAAGAACCGATCAAACTCGATGTCCACCAACCCCAAAGCATAACGACTCAGTCTAAGAAACTCAATCTCATAATCCATAACAAACATGTAACCCTACTTCAAACTTTGAAAATCCTGAAGTCACTCCTGTAAGTATCTCTCTCTGATGTAACTACTCCGAAAGCGTTCCTTGAAAAGATCCTAAGTCAATTGATCCACCAGGATATTCTTGGAAATCAAATGTCACCGTCTCAACACTTCCATCTTAAACAAAGCTAGTACTCCCTTCAACTTCTTCTAGGGCCTCAGCTCAATCTCATCCATAGTCTTATTGGTATCATCCAACCAGTACTCGGCATCTGTTGGAGGTCCCTCAGTAATGCCTTCAAACAGACATGCTCCAACAGCCACTAAAAACGTAGATATATCCACAACAGAATATTAGCAGGAGAACTAGTTGCTCTCTAAAACATCCGATAAATAGATCTATCAATGGCACTCTGATCCAACTCAGAATATTCATGCTGGGAGACAGGAGGATCTCTCATAGGCATAATCGAATCCTATCAGGAAGTAGACGGATTGACACACGGAGTAGGATGATCTCTAGCTAACAGTGGGTCCTCTACAAAAACAGAAAATCGTGTCGGTTGTCCACGACATGGCCTATGTCCTCGAGTGCTCATCTGAACAATCTACAAGGCTCTACAAAAAGAATTTGAACCTTAGTTAGAATGGCATTAGAAATCTCAAATCTATTTAAAACTCATAAAATAAGGTGACACGGTGTTTATATCAGAAAATATCTTTTAAAAAAATATTGTACTTATGACTCATCCACGGTCCTAGTATTTAAAACTAAATGTTCTGATACCCCCAAGTGTAACACTCTAGACTCAGTTTAGATGTTACGATCGAATCTAAGCGGTCACATGTCATATATAGAAATTATTTTAGTTAAAATAATACGTATAGCGATAATAATACAAAAAAATACAACGGTAAAGTTCTTACAATAAACATAAACATTTAGTAACATCAAAAGTTTGTATATACATGTCCAGAAACAAAATACTGATAATACAGGTACATAAGGAGTAGTAAAAACACGTGTTACCAAAATATAACATAAAAGGTGTATAGAAATATATAGGGATACAAAACGAAGAATAGTCAATCATCCTGATGTTAAGTCTGCTAGCCTACTGTCGAGTAATATCTGAAAAGTTAAAAATTAAAGAATGAGCTAGAAAGCTCAGTGTGCTCATTGCGGTGTATAAAAACATATAGATAAAATACTTTGGTAAAAGTTACGTATAAAATAGGTTTTAAAAACATGAACAATACCCCTATCCGAACGCCAGAATGTGTAGGTTTCTCTGAACCATACACCCATATGTACACTCGATAAGGACCTTATACTGATAGCATAAGGGCCTGCAGTCAGGACTTACCCTCTGCACAAAGCAGAGGAGCCTGCGGTAAGGTCTTACAAGTCATAGACTAAGCTTGAGATATTTCCTTCAATCATACTGCAAGCTCAGTTCACAATGGTGAACGGCGGAGAACCCGATTACATTTTGTAAAAAAATTGAAGTTGTTCACCCCTCCACACGCCGACAACGATGACAACAAAGTGACCATCGTTGGACTTGGAACGACACAAAGAACACGATGATGTAGGTTGTATAATAATTGGAGCTACGACGATGATGACGTAACGACGATTGAAAATTCTTGGAGAAAAATGGCTAAAATAGAAAAGTTTGGAGACACATTGTTTATGGCCTTCTAGAAAAGGAAAGTTGCAGATGGAGTTAAAAAAAACTCACAAGGGAAAATGGAAAATTCATGCCATTGAACCTTCAAGTTTTGAAACTTTTTGATTTAGGTTCAAATTTTAATAAAAACTCCTTTTAGTCCCCCGAACTTTAACCAAAATTTAATTTAGTCCTTGAAATTAAAGTCAAGAAAAATCTAAACCCTAATTTGGGGTGTGACATATCAAATATTATATTTAATATCTATTATCGAAACAACTTATAAGCAACTTTAAAAAAATAGAGTAAATTACATATTTAATACTTAAGTTATCAATTTTGATCCATTTTAGTATTTAAACTTTTAATTTTTTTGAAAATCATACATAAAGTTTAATTTTTGTTTCAAAAACATACACTATAATCAAATACCGGATGTCATATCAGTCACCAAAGCGATCCAAAACCAATTTTAAAAAAATTCTCATCCAAAAACAGTTATAAATCCATATGAAAAACATACAAGTTCAAATATATGCAGAACAAAACTCAAAATACAAATCAATAATTAAAAAGCAATGCCATAATCTAAAAGCGAAATTAATGAGTATAAATATACATTTTTCAATGTTGAAATCAAAACTCTGGTCCTCTAGATGTAGAATCGAATCTAAAGTTTTGAATTGTCTGAAAATGGAAACAAGAAACAGAGTGATCCGAAGACTCTACGAACAAACGGAATATGACATCTCATACAGAATATATATTTACGACGAAATTATCAGACAAGGTATACACAATAACAAGGTGTCAAAAACAATCAAAATGTGATGACATAACAAGTGTCGCAGGAAAATAACAAAACAGAACATGTATAAGAAGCAGCATGCAGTACGCATAAGTAATGCGGCTAGTAAGCCTTAACTACACAACACTGTCACGACCAAGGAAAAGAAATTCCCTCGAATCCATAAAAACCATCACGATCAATCGGGTTGATTTATCATCCGACACTATCCAGTTTTCCATGGGAAGACCAAGCATTGAAGTTTTTTTCGACAACCAGACAGCTATTGCGGTCTCAAACAATCCAGTGTTCCATGGGAAGACCAAGCATTTCAACATCAAGATCTATTTCTCGAGAAAAGTACAACACGATGGAGAGAACACACTTTGGTTCATTGCAGGACTGAATATCAGTTAGCAGGCCTGTTTGCAAAACCTCTTCCAGCCAGCAAGATCGAGCATCTACGCCAAAGAATTGATGCCTGCAATCCTTAAAGCAAAGCAAGGTGTTAAATATTTGCACATCCCTATCATTTGTTGTCTTCCCATGGAACACTTGTAGTCCGCAGTCCCTCGACGTTGCTGAATCAATACATATAATGCACATCCCTATCATTTGTTTGAGCTGCGATTGAAGGGATATGTAGCGATGAACGATTGAAGATAACCGGTGAAAGGAAAGGAAAATGGTTCATCTCATATACTAAGATTGTTTGCTCATTCCAAATAACAAAAGAAAAGGAAAATTGTGAATGGATATTGATCATCTTCAGTTTTTCTGGCTTTGGATGAGTAATTGCTCAAAGGATTTGAATAAGTGCTTACTTGGAACAAGAAAAATGCTAAACTTAGATGAGTAGTTGATTGCGATTCTAGAATTTCGGATTAGTATTTTAACAAATCAGCAGTTGAATTCAGTAATATAATTGCTACAACATAAAATGCTATTTTCATGAAACGGACCAATTTGGTTCCCTATACACATCCCAAAGGATGCTCTCATAACTCAGATAGCAATCCTAAATGAACTGGGAACAAAAGATAGGCATATATGTGTATAGTTTCTAGTAACATTGATGTACCAAATTCCGGCAGTCCTGCAAAATTCTCATCGATGCTGAAAAGGGGCATTTGCTTCAACTTTCTTTTCTTTCTGGTCAGACTGTCATTTTTGGTCGATCTTTGCTGAAGTTGTGTGGTGGTTTAGTCTTGGCAACATCAACAACTATCATCCACCCATTTATGATCTAAAAAAGCAAACAAGAAAGCATTAAACCTCTCTTTAGCTTGATTTATATTTACAGGTTGTAAGCCAGATATGATAGTGTAGAAAGTAAGCGAATAAAAACGGTTGATCTAAATCATATACCTTGCCATTCATCTCCTTAAGTGCAGCACTCGCAGCCTCCTCTGTGGTGTATTCCACAAATGCATACCCTTTAGATCTTTTAGAGATCTTGTCCATTATGATTTTAACTGTTGAGAACAGAAGAATTATTAGCAAGCAAATCTACATTTTGTTTGCATGAAACTTTATCCATGAAACATGAAAAGATACCTTCAACAAGCTCACCGAAACCTTCGAAATGTGAACGTAATGTCTTCTCAGATGTGTAAAATGATAGTCCTGTTCGAGAAGTACAACATATCACAAAGGCCATAAGTTAGCAAATAAGAACAGGTATAAAACAAATCCACAGTGCCTCAAAGTTTTAGACCCCATGAATGAATATGAAAAGACTAGGGTAGGCAATGATGCAACAAACAGATGGTGCAACAAAACTTCTCCTTTTTATATGATCCAAAATAACATGTGAGTAAAACAAATACCACGAAAGGAAATAAAGACCACGTTCATATAAGTGAAAGATGGTAAAATTAGATTTCCAGCAGTAATTACCTGTTATGAAAAGTTTCTTTGTTCTTACTGAGGTAGTTTCACTAGGTTCTGAAGCCTCTGGCAGACTCGTAGAATTTTGTGAACTACTACCTAGAAATTGTGAATTGTTACTCCGTATTGCAAGGAAAGAAGGATAAAAAGAAACAGATACTTTGAAAATCATATATGTTGGATCAAATAAGAATTAAGTGTTGAATGTTAAGAATGAGGGAAAAATAATCTTAAGCTAACAAAAGCTAAGAGGGAAAGGAAATACAAATCAAATTTTAAATTATGATAATGAGGATCGATTATCTTACTTGCAGGAAAACATTATATGATATTATACATCATCATCTAATATATGAAGTTAAGCATTTCCTTCAAACTAAAAGATCATTTATCCAACTAGTCACTCACACAAAGTTTAACTACATTTCCTGCTTGTGACCTTTGAACTCATATACCCTTTCCAAATTTTTGCCAAGCCGACAAGTCAAAGACCGAAACTAATAGGAAATAGATTCTAAATGAGAGAAAATTATTAAGACAAGAGAGAAACCTCCATAGTCTTTGTTCTCCGACTCGAAATTCCTATCTAGCTCAACAGATAAAACTCCAGGCACGCCTGTGATGAAAAGAAGAAGCATTAATTCCAAAACTGCAAACACAATTTAAACTTACAAATACATATTCAAAGAGCATATACAGACCAGCTAGTTCGTTCGCGCATTCTTCGTCAAGTTCACAACAGAAACCAAACTGGGATTGCCAAGATACATGGTATATGCACATTTGAGCATCCATTTCACTGTAACAATAATTTCACTCAAAAGATGAACAAAACTTATGATGGAAAACCAGTTTTCTTTCATTCACAGTGAACAAAATACTTACTTTCCCAACACTTTGGTGAGTATTTGAGCATAATAATCAACCATTTGTGCTTTTGTGACAACCCCAATTCCAGGCTTATCCATTCGAACAAGCCAGTGTTTGGTGTTCCCAGCAGGAAACAACTGTGAATTGTAATCTTTTTGCTTAGAATTGTAATCTGGGTCTGGCTTAACAGATAAAACCTCAGGTAAACCTACAAATAAAGAGATGCAAAATCCAAAAATAATCAGAGATAAAGAAAAAAGACAAGGTGAAAAAATGAATAAGGAGACACTAACGAGCAAGTTCACGGGAGGCTTGTTCGTCGATATGGCAGCAAAACCCAAAGTGGGTATCACAAGAAGCATCGTATATACACATCTGAGCATCTTTTTGGGACCCCAAAACTGTTTCGAGAGTGTTGACGTAGTAATCAATGATTTGGGGCTTGGAATCGACACCTTCTGGGGGCTTAGCCATTAGCACCATCCAGTGGCCGTCATGAATCCTTCTTCTTGTTGTTTTTGTTGAAGAAGAAGAAGAAGAAGAAGAAGAAGAAACAGAGAAAGATGAAGCTGTGATTGGAGTTTTAGATGAAGAAATACAAGAATTGGATAAGGAAAGGTTGAAGTGGCTCTGTACGCCAATGGGAAATCTGGTTTTAGCTATTTGGGGCAATGATTTGTGTGATTTACTGAGAGAAAGAGAAATGGCGGGGACTGCCAGTGAGGGACAAAGGGATTCCATGGACATAGCTCTGATTGCTTCTCCTCGCTTTGTTGAATGCTTATTGCTTCGAGCTTATCAGCTTCTTCTGAGCTTTTGCTGGGCTGGGCCACGTTTGCCATTCGGTAGGAGAAAACAAATAGAGTAAACTACAACTTTAGTGCCCAAATTATTACTTTTATTCTATTTTAGTCACCCAACTATTTTTTTAAAATTATACCTAACGTTACGTTTTGGTTTATTTTGGTAACTCACTATTAAAAAAATTAACAGAACTACAAACATGACATTTTTTTCATTTCTTTCAATGATTAAGTGGCATGATCGTATGGTGACACATCGACATCACCGTTAATATTTTAACAAGTTAGCAAAATAAAACCAAAAGCATAATTTTGAAAGAAAAAAAAATTAGTCAAATGACCAAAACAGAACAAAAATATTAGTTAAGATACTAAACATGTAGTTTAAAGCCAACAAATATTCCACTCGTTTTAGTTTTGGCTTATTATACAAATCGGTACATGAATTTAGACAAGAATCTCAGATTGATACTAAATTTAAATAATGTTTATAAACTAGAATTTTATATTAATTGGTATTTCGATAATCATATACACAACAATTGATTGTATTATTTTAATCAGTCAATACCACATCAATAACATGATTGATTGTTAAGGTATCAAGTCAACACATATATTAATTTGAAATAATTTTTAAGTTTGTATACTAATTTAAGATAAAAAAATCATGAATCAATTTTAGAAAAAAATATCAAATTCATATATTGTTTTATATAATAAATATGCACTCCCTCCGTCCTGTAATTTGTGTTTGATATTAGCTATATACATAGTTTTAAGAGATATATTTGACCAAAGAAAATTACAAAATTATCTCTAAAATATGATTGATAGATTTGACGGATTTATTTTTTATATGTGTAAAAGAATTAGACATATAATGGTAAAAAAAGAAATAAAAATGTTATTATTTATTTAATTTTTAAAAGATCATTTTAAATAAAAAAATTTACTCGCAAGGAATTCATTCATTATCAACACCATTTACTTCAACCCAATTATAGCCCTGTACAATTTTTTGTATTCCCCTCTCATTCACGACATAAATTATCAAATTTTACATTTCTAATTTAATAAAAAAGAAATATTTTTTTAAAAAAAAGATAAGAATTAAAATAATTATCTTTATAAAATATGTATTGTCAATCGACTTGAGAAAATTTTGAACATATATTAACTTGTCATCACCACATATTATATTTTAAAAAAAATAAGGGTAAATTATATGTTTAGTATCTAAACTATCAATTTTTGTCTGTTTTAGTGCCTAAACTTTCAATTTTTTCAAAAACATACCTAATGTGTAATTTTTGTTTCATTTAAGCACCTCATTCAAAATTTATCGTTAAGTTTTGGAAAACATGAAAGTTTAGGTACTAAAACAAACCAACATTGATAGTTTAGGTACTAAACGCGTTACATTTTTAACGAAGGGGTACTAAAATGAAAAGAAAACTAAACGTTAGGTATGGTTTTATAAAAAATGAAAGTTTAAGTACTAAATCGGATCAAAATTGATAGTTTATGTATTAAATGCATACTTTACCCTAATTATTCCATGAGTTTCTTTGTTTCATTGTTCTAAGATTGCTTTGAATTGTTCTAAGAGTTAAAGGTTGTAAAATAGTCTCTTCTAACAACCCGTTGTATTCTAGTTGGTTAGGATACTCGGCTCTCACCTGAGAGACCCGAGTTCAGGTCCCGACATCGGAAAATTTTATTTTGCTGCTATATTCAGGCACTGTTTTTTTCATTTCGCCTCAAAGCAGAGTGATAAACTTGTAATTTTCCCCTCACTATTATATTCTTCTATAGATTTGATTGGAACAACCTACTAAACATAGCCTTTACATTTCTTTGATCTACTTTTAAATCTTTTACCGAACAACAAACTCGTGTATCCACAATTTTCTTTATACCTCTATAAACATACCCTAAACAATTGTATAATTTCATGCTTCTCTCTAGGATTCCTAAACCCTATAGTATTTTTTTATTTGAATAGTTTAAAATGATTATAAGGTAATATTTGTTCAGAATATTTCTTGATTCTTAATCATTGATTAGAAGGTAATATTTGTGTATAATCTTTCTTAATCATTGATAACACACATACACCCTGCAGACACAACTACTTGAATTCGAGTCTTCTAAAGAGAACATCAATATCTTATCAACTTTATCTTATCCTTATAGATCTTGGCTGCCCAGCAATGGAAAAAATCTAAAACATCAATTTCATACTTCCCCTCCAAATTTGTAAACCCTAAATTACTAAACCTCTCACTTTCACTCATATCAGGAGGACTACCAGACAATTCGTCCATCATATTTGTCGGAATAGTTCTTAAACTTTTGGATTCGATTCTCTATTGGTTTATGAAATTCTTTTAAAATTTTTGATTTTATAAAAAAATTTGAAATTGTCATAGATCTTTTTTAGCTATGTAGGGTTGAAAATATATAAAACCGTCTTTTTAAAGAAAATTTTTGAAAATCCATTTCTAAATACAATTTTATGATTAGCGATGAGAAAATGAGTTGAAGAGTTAGTTACGTGTGGGAAAAGATGAGCACCCCTACAACATGTACCTAATAAGTTGTCTAGGCATCAGAATTTACAAATTTAAATATAAATTTAAGAAATGATTCCTTAAACTTTTTTAAAAATAATTTGAATCTAGAATCCAAATTTATTTTAAAAGGCTATCCTTTTTGTCTAAGCATTGAAATTTATCTTAAACTTTCTGTTAAATGTATTTTTGATATAACAAATAGGGGCAAAATGTTTTAGGGCTAAATTGAATTTGGTCAAATGATGCAAAAATAATTCAAAGTCCAAATTAATTTGAAAAATATGTCCTAGATGTTTTCTAAACTTTGTCAAACTTTTAAACATATTTCTAAAGCTCAAAACTCTTGAAATTTTCCAAAAACCCTACCCAGTCTCGAGACCTATATTTCAGAAGGCTTTTCTGGTATCTGTACCATGGTGTTGGTATCGATATTGGAAGGTGAGTATCGATACTTCTTCAAGCAGTATCGATATCGAGCCTTAACGGCTATAATTTTGATTGTTTTTAATGCTCGGTCTTGATACCAACTTTCCGGTATCGATACCAAAGTTGCAAGTGAGCATTTAAAGCTCAAAATTAAGGGTTCTGACAGCTCCAAAACATCCCCAACGGTTAGAAATGACTACAAACTCATTCTAACACATAAAAACAAGTTGAGGACACTTGAAGAAGGTTACAACACCTATCCAAGCAATACATATCAAGAGAAAAGCTCTTTCAATCTTATTTTTCCTTTTCTCTTGTGCATAGAGTGTTTTTACGAGCTTAATTTGTAAATACCTACTTTTTGGAGATTTTCTTATTTATATTTCTTTGTCCTTTTGTAAAAGGGATTTTGGTTCTATCTTAGCCATTGTAAATGATAGTGAATTTGTAAAGGTTACTCTTGAGCCTAGGAAAAAAAAGAACAAATTAGTAAATTTGTTAGAAATCCTTAGTGAGGAGCTAAGGTAGTGGATGTAAACTTCATTGAGGAAGTTGAACCACTATAAATCTTTGAGCCAATTTTTCTTATCTTTTTTCTTAATTCCCAAAAATTTAAAAAGGACAATTCACCCTCTCTTGGCAACTATTTTGGTTGATTGCTTTGAGCCTCAAATCCCAATAATTGGTATCAGAGTGGGTCACAATCGACAAATTAACAACCTTGTGAAGATCCTATAAGAGCTCTATAAATTTCTGACTCAATTGAGAAGATGACTTTTTTCCTCTGGCGCTTACTACATCAAAGATTCTCAACCGATCAACAAGTTACCCTATTTCAATGGGAAATTTATGCATACTGGAATAATATGATGATGCTATTCATTCAAGCCATTGATCCATATGTGTGGAACTCTATCCTAGAATCGATGAATCATCCCTAACAAGAAGCTTATTAGAAAGATGATATATTTTCTTCCAAAGTCTTGGCAATCGAATAAGACGGCGATCATTAGAGTGAATAAATTAAAGTCACTCTCACTTAATGAACTTATTGGCTCCATTCTCACTCATGAGATGATGGAAAATGAGGAAGAACAAGAAGAAGATAAGAAAAAAGGAAAGAAATAAAAAGGTGTTGCCTTGAAATCCTCTACCCAAAATAAAAGAACCTCAAGTGAAGAAGAAGAGATGACCAAGCTCTTCAAAAGATTCTCTAAATTCATGTCTTCCTAAGGAACAGAAGTGAAGCATGAATCAAGTAAAAGGAATGGTACCCCGGTGTGCTTTAAGTGCCAAGGAATGAAACATGTCAAATACGAATGTCTCCTCTTAAAGAAGAAGGGATCAAGCAAAAAGAAGGCATTTATGGTGACTTGGAGTGATGAAGAAGACTCCAATGATGAAGATGAAGTTATTGACCTATGTCTCATGGCCATCGAACAAGATTCAAGGGTAACTTCTAACTCTTGTAATTTAAATTCTTATTCTTTCAAAGAGTTACAAGAAGCCTATGATGAATTGTATTTGGAATTTGAGAACATGAATTCCAAATATAAGAAATTAATTTCAGAATTTAAATTTGAAAATGAATTTCTTTTAAAAGCAAAAATAGATTTTGAAAAACAAAATGAAATTTTGAAAAATGATTTTGAGGTTTCAAAATTCAAAATCAATGATTTAGAAAAAGAAAATCTTGATTTAAAAGTTAATCTTGAATGCTTAACAAAAGAAAAAGAAATAATTTCTCAAAACACTTCATCATGTTTAAAAATGGCAAAATGCTCACATTTCCATTTTCATAGTCGCATGTAATATAATTGTCCTTTAAAACTTAGAAAACATTTTAAAATTAAATAAGTATGGGTTCATAAGGGAGCAAGGGACATTAGCACTAACAATCAAGGATCCAAAGCAATTTGGATACTAAAATCCAAATGAATGTCTCTTGTAGGTGTGTGGGAGCAATGATGTCACAAGTG